GCCCAGCCCAGCCCCGGCCCCAGGCCTAGCTCCATCCAGGTCTTCCAGAGGGCTCCCCAATTTCCTCAATTTGTGGCCTCTCTGGACCTTCCTCAGAGGGTAGACACTGCCCAGCCAGCTGGCTGCTGCCCTGGGCCCCCTCCCAGACAGCTCAGCTGGCTCTAGCCTGGACAGGCCCCGGCAGCTGGCCCTCACCTCCTGGAGTGCCCAGCAGTCCACCCACACCCACCGGCCCGGCCGCCGCTCCTCCGAGGGACCCGCTGGCGCACCCAGGCCTTGGCACCCTATGCCGTGGCCTCAACTCCCACCGTGGCCCCGGCCTCTGGCCCCAGCCTCCTCCCCTATCCAACGGGCACCCCAACTTCAGCGCGGCCCCCGCGGTCTGCTCAAGCCCACAGCAGCGCGGCCCCCTCCCTCACTGTGGCCGTGCTTCGGGGGCACCCACAGCGCAGGCGGGGAGGTGGGCACCCACCCTGCAGCGGCCACCTGGGGAGGGGCCACGGGGCGGCACCACAAGGGCCGGCACTGGGTACCTGAGAGCGCCATCCTGCTCTGGCACAGCTTGGCCAGCCCATGCCTTCTGCCCAGGGGCCTGTGGGCCAGCGGCAAGGACCTACTGGGCGCGGCGGGGTGCTCTGGCGCGGGCGACGGCGGGCTCAGGCCCAGCGGCCCCTGCTCCCCGCCTGAGGCCGGTGGGCCGCTGTCCTCCATGGGGAAGGGCGGCACAGGGCCCGTGCCACCTGGAAGAATGAGCGGGGACGTCCTGATGCAGGAGGCCCGCTGCCCAGGCGGCCCCCAGCCGAGCCCAGCTGCACCCGCAGGCTCCACCCCAGCCTCGGCTTGGCCGGGGTCAGGCTTTCTGAGTGGGTGCAGGGAGGCGTGGGGAAGGGGAAGCTTAAGGGGAGGCCGTGGGAGCCGGGGAAGGGCCCTCCGGACTGGGCGGGGGGGAGAGCCACCCCAGCACCTCCGGCAGAGCAGCCTCCGTGGCCAGGGGACTGACTCGCGGCCAGGGCCACCTCGCCCTGGGCTTGGCTCCCGCCTTCAGCGGCTTGTGCAGAGAGAACAGGCGGAGAGCCCTGTTCCCTCCGCCTGCACCCTCCTGGGCAGCCTCCTGCAGGACTGCAGCCCGGCACCGATGCCGATGCAGCCGGAGCACTGCAGTGAAGAGCTGCGCCCCTCTGCTGGCAGGGGTCTTTTGGGGGTTTAGCTGGGCCTCCTGCTGGGGTCCCACACAGGGCCCCCACCTCCCCCACCGGTCTCCTGGGATAGAGGTAGACCAGCAGAGCCTGGCCAGGCTGCAAGTCTGGCGTGGTCAGGGCAGAGCCCCCAGGGAACCCCCTCTGCAGGGCCATCTCTGGGATGAGGGGCCCTCAGCCCGCGAGAAACAAAGAGGTCTGCAGGCAGCTTTGGGCTGGGGGCGCACCAGGGAGCCCTGCAGTGCCCTCCTCCAGCCAGGGCACAAGCAGGTGCAGCGGGAGCAGCCGGGCCCGGCGGCCCCTCGGAGAGAGCATGGCTGTGTGGCAACACTGGAGGAGCCCACAAACCCACCCTCCTCTGGGCCTCGGTAACACAGGCTCCTGGACATGGAGACACCCACAGAGTCCCCCGGAGCAACGGGGGTGCCAGTCCAGGCCAGGCAGTGCCTTGGAGCCACGCAGTGGCAGGAAGGTGGGGGGGCCTCGAGAAAGCCGAGGTGCAGTGATGCCCTTCCGCTGACCCATGCGGTGAGAAAGGCCAGCCCACTGCCCAGTCCCGCGAAGAAGGGAGCCAGGCACAGGCAGGCAGGCAGGCAGGCAGAGGGCAGCCGGCTGACCCCCGGGGGGTGCGGGTGGGGGGACGGCCGCTGGCCAGCCGGTGGGGGGAGGGGGCCGCTGGCTCAGGGAGCCGCACGCGGCGCGGGGCGGCCCCGCCAGCAAACGGGCTCCAGCGCGCTCACCTGGGAGCAGGGTCAGGCCCTGGTGAGGACTGGCCCCGAGGCGCCGTCAGAGCAGGCGGGAAAACGGCGCTCCTGGCCCAACGGCCGCACGGAGTCGTGACCGGCCGGGCGGCCCTCCCGAGCGCAGCCCTCCCCCTGGGCAGCGAAGGTCCCGGGCTCAGCTCCTTCCCGCCGCCAGGAGCAAGGAGAACGGCTTCTAACACCGGCCAATCGCAGAGCAAAGCTCGCCGATTGACAGGTATCAGGGGCCAACCACCAGCTCTCGTGGGCGGGACTTAACAGCTCTCGCTGAGAAGCCCGCGCAGACGGTTGCTAGGGACGCACCGGACTCCGTCTACGGCGCCTCGGAGGAGCCAAGGAGACTGGCAGGTGGCCGGCCACGCCGGCGGACGCTGTTTCCTCGGGTCGGGACCGGGAGGCTGAGCTGGCAGAGCTCGCCGCTCGGCAGCCTGTCCTG